CCTCCCCCCGTCCTCTTTCCCCTCCTTCCCCTGCCCCCCCTCCTCCCAACCTCTTCCCCCTTTCGTTTCCCCTCCTCCTGCTCCACCTTCTCCTTCTCCTTCTCTTTCTCCGACTCACCACCACCACCACCACCACCACCGCTTCCCTCTCCCTCTTCTTCTTTTTCTTCTTCGTCCTCCTCCTCCTCCTCCTCCTCCTCCTCCTCCTCCTCCCGCCGCGCCCCGCGCTGCCCCGAAGATGGGCGACGAGATGGCGAGCAGCCTGTCCGAGGCCTGCTCGCCCAGGGGGGTGGCAGTGGGGTGGAAGAGGCGGCGCCCGAGGCGGCCGACAGGCTGCTTGAGGAGTCTGCCCTTAGACCCGAGGGCTCGGCGGAGGCCCCTGCGGGGCCTGGCGCGAGGGTCTTTGGGGAGCCGACCCCCACCGATGGGGGGGCCGTGCCCTGGGGGGGCGGGCGGCTCTGCTTCGGGGCAGGGGTCGGTCTCGGCGGGGGTCGCCCATCGCGCCTCGTGGCCTGGGCCGTTGTGTGGTGGGGCCCCGTCGGACCTTCCTGGACCTCTGGTGCGTGGCCCTTGGGGGTGGGGCTCTGCGGCGTGGGCCCTGTTCCACGACCTCGGCCATCGGATGGCCGAGGTCAACGGCGTCGCCTTCTGCGAGCGATGTGCTTGTCACGTCGGGGAGTCGGGGAAGGTTGTGGCCCTCAAGCGGCCCTGCAAGGGCCCCATCGGATCACCCCCCGACCCTAACTGTGCAGAAGCACCGTATGAAGAGGATGCGTGAGGGAAAGCCGCCGCGATAGCGGCTCGGTGGTCGGCCTTTCCCTTCCAATCTTCTCTTTTCTAAGCGTTTTTCGTTCGGGCGGCTTGGACGCACTCTTGCTTGTCTCTCTCGCGGATTTCTTGGATCCGCGTCTGGGCCCCCCGGCGGCGCCTCCGGCGCCACCCTTGGCGCGCTCCGCGCGCCAGGGAGGGGGGTCCAGCGCGAATCCACGAAATCCGCGCGGAGCGCCAAACGTTTCTGTTTCTGTTTATGTGTTTTTTCTTTTTCTATTCACTCGACCTCGCCTCCCTTCCCGCCCCGCTGCCAGTACTACCCCTCCCTGCCTCTCCCTCCTTCGTCTGTGTGCTTCCCTCTCGCCCCCAGACGGCAGGTTCGTGTCGCGTCGACGCGGCGGCGACGCCAGTGCGGGTGTCCAGTGGCCCGGGATCCGCCGATACGAAACGATCCGCGCCATGGGAAAGCCAGGATCGTTCAATGTTGAGTTGAGCCACCCTTGTAGAGGAGGAGGAGGAGGAGGAGGAGGAGGAGGAGGAGGAGGAGGAGGAGGGAGGAGGAGCTTCAGAAACCGTTAGGCCACGGGCCTGCCCGTTGAAGGCAAGGCGCCGGAGCAAGGAGCAGTCTTGGGGGCTCGCAAGTTCCCCGCGGTTCAGCTTTCTTTCCATGGCTGTAATTCGGGGGCTCCTCGTGCACTCAGGCGCATCTGTGGCCACAACGGGGCTTCGTTCCTCATCTGGCGTTTCTTGTGGTAGTAGTAGCTTGACCGCCTTCCCCTCTTCCTGCCCCCCCCAATGAGGCGGCAGGGGAAGGGGGGGGTAGCTGGTGGTGGTGGTGAGGGGGGTGGGGGTAGCGCGCCCGCGACCCCGCGGAAGGCCACCGCCGCCGAGGAGAAGTCCGTCTCGATCTACGACGAGCTCATGGCCGCGAAGACCCAGGAGCCCCTCCGACCCGCTCCCTCCTCTCCACCTCCCCCTCGAGAAGGAGGAGGAGGAGGAGGAGGAGGAGGAGGAGGAGGAGAAGGAGGAGGAGGAGGACGAGGCGGAGGACCTCGGTCCCACCCCTCCCGCTCCACCTCCCGCTTCCCTTCCGCTCCCACCCCTCCCGCCGCGGCTGCGACGCCAGACCCGCACCCGCGAGGGCGACGGAGGCGCCCCCAGAGACCCGTGCACTGGGCCGTGGGCCGGCCATACGCTCAGGGCGCCGCGGCGCGGTGCGCAGGGCACCGCACGAGGCACAGCCAGGCTGACAGCTGGAAGACGATGCGCAGACGGAAGCCACCCAGACATGCCCGCGTGGTGGCAAATATCAGGTCGGGAGGGAGGTTTTTTGCCGCTTTCGGCCTCTGGGGGCCCTCGCCGGGCCCCGGGACCGTCCAACAACGACTCGGGACTTCCGCGGGCCGTGTATTGAAAGCATCAGGGCGTCGCATGTCTGGGCCGCCAGCCACGAGCACACTGAGTGGACGTGGCGAGCGCCACACTGACGCCCAGAAGCCGACCCGCGCCAGCGCGGCCGGCGATGGCATGGCGGCCAGCGCAAGCTCTGGGACACCGAAGCAGGCACCAAGCTTCGCCAGCGCAGACTGGACTTCATCGGACGAGGCTAGGACGAGGATAAGTCTATTCCAGGGCGTACCAGAACGCCCTCAGAGCGTGCCGGAGCACTCTGGAGAGGCCGCGGCGCTCGAGCCATCCTCCAGAGCCGCGGGATCTCAGAGATTCTCGAGTTATCCTCACCCGATGTTATCCTCGTCCTGGCTTCTCCTTACTTCACCCAACGCTTGCCTAGTAACACGGAACGCTGTCATAATGACATCACATGGTCGCGAACGGCCCAGGGCGTCATCGCGTGGGCGACTCTCGAGGACCATTGCACCAAGTCCGCACCAGCAAGCCTTCAAAATTCTTAACGGGCGCACCCAGCCAGCAACGAGGGCCAATATCGACACCAATGACTTCCTCCTCCCGTATTTTTTGATGCGTTTCGTACTGCACATGCAGATCCTGGAGGGCACGACCTTGCCCAAGGGGTCCGACCTATTCGCAGACGAAGTCCACAGTGGTGGTCCTTTTGTTTGCGTAGTTATGCTTGTAACTTGTCTCTTATCCCTGATTTCGTCTACCCCTCCCCTTCCCTTGACCCTTCTGTCCTCGTCTCCCTCTCAGTTTTCCCCTCTTTCCCTCTCCCCCTCCCCCACGCGGGTGCAGGGTTGCAGCGACCCGCGCACGCGCCCAGGGAAGCAGGCCCGGGCCGCTGGCAGTCGAGGAGGAGGATGTGAAGGTGGAGGAGGAGGAGGAGGAGGAGGAGGAGCAGGAGGACGAGCGGGATGAGGAGAAAGACGAGCAGGGCGAGCAGGAGGAGGACCAGCACGCAGTTGGATGATGAGTTCGGGCCACCTGTCCTCTAGGGTGGGGCGGCCTCTGCCTGGCTTGGGCTGCCTCTCTGAGCAGCTGCGCCAGCGGCACGGGAGAAATCCGACGACCCTCAGGGGGCCTTTCAGACTTTCCATTACTGACCAGGGAAGCACCAGAGAATGGCTCAACTACCTGATCTTGCTGTCTGTCAAGATCTATCCCATACACGCATAGAACAGAGAGAAACGGGATACGGTCGATATCGAATCGAATTGGGCGAAGGGCGTAGCCTCCGCCGCTCTCCTGCGCAGGGAAGCACCAGGGGTATGCCTGGCGCTTCGACCTGCTGGCGGCACAGAAATCCGCACCTTCTCGAGGAAGGTTTCCGGAGACATGCCTGTCATCTGCGAAACAGGATACAACAGAGATGCACAGACACAGTATGCAGCGAGCACTGAACAAAGAACAAGCATGTTCTCTGATCTTACAGCAGCTGCATACAAGAACTATCTCAGACTTCAGTGAATGCGGGCAACTTCAGAACCTTGTAACTGAAGCTATTGAACTTGCTTGTATAGCGTGGCTTCATACAGAAAAAGACAAAGTCTAGTCGGACAGGCGTGCAACTACCAATCTTCATGTTGTAATGTTGGTCGCCTTCTCCTTCAACGAACTGAACATGTGCTTTCTCTATCTCCGCGCTCTGACTGCAGAAGGCCAGCCAGTTTTCTCCAGCGCGGTACTTCCAGCTAGTGGTGTCGAACTGCTCTTGGACCACCTCGGAATTGACCTCTGTGGCGTCGTCGTGGGGGGGCGCCTCATCGAAAGGCTTTGTGCCCAGGAACTGCTCCTGAACCTCCGCCTGGCTGCTGAAGCCGTCGTGCAGCTTCTCCGGCACAGCCTGCTCGATTTGCACAGCTTCCGACGCCTCAATCGCCTCCTGGTTGGGCGGCTCCGCAGCCCGCTCCGCGGCGAACTGCACCACCTGCTCGTCCGCAGACTTCTTGATGTCGTCGCCGTCGTCTCCCTCCACATCGAAGGGCTCCGTGCCCTGGGGATGCTCTGGGTCCACAGCCTGGATGTCGAAGCCGTCGTGCGGCTTCTCGGCCACGGCCTTCTCGATATGCTCGGCGTCCGAGACATCGATGACTCCAGGCACGGCGGCGGCATACTGCTCCGTGTCTGCCACGCGCTGCGGCGAAAGGATCCGCAGCAGCTCGTTCGTGAGGCCCTCGCCGTCGGTGACCAGCTCGTTGGCCTCCATGTCGGAGACCAGCATGGCAGTGGGCGTCCAGAAATTCTCGTCGAGTTCGTGGTACAGCATGCCCGACGCGATGGGCAGCTGCGTCACGAGTCCAGGCGGGGGACCTGCCGCAAGAAGGCCAGCCAATCGGCCGTTGGCCTTCTGGAGCTTGCGCGCATGGGTTGCGCGAGCTCTGGCGCGGCGGCAAGCGCTACGCGACGACGTTGGGGCCGCACTACGAAGGGCGGCACATAGGAACGCCATCACTCCGCGTGTCTAACTGTGACTGGGGCGGACCAGGCGAGGCGAGCGCACAAGGGTCGAAAGCAGACTTCGTGATCGTGGTGCCGAAAAGGCCGCGGGGGTCAGGGCCTTCCCTGGGCGGCAGTGCTGTCGTCCTGCACCTCCAGCGGTGTGATCAGGACTTGAGCCACGAGCAACGGCGAGCAGGAGGAGGAGAAGGAGGAGGAGGAAGAGGAGGAGGAGAAGGAGGTCCAGAGGAAACCCAACACTCATCAAACAAAAAGTCAACCCTATCTTCAATTTCCTTGTTCAAAGCCCCTGTGGATGTATTTTCAGTGCCGGAAGAGCCTCGTCGGAAGACAATCGTGTGAACATTTTGAACCGTGCCATCGCACCCACCATTCCTGGGAGTTCAGCGCCGCGAGTGAACGATACTGTTGCGACCTGACGATCCTAAATCGTGCCAGAGCACCGTTTCTGGGACGTCAATACCGCGACTCAACGTGACAGTCGTGCCCTGACAATCCTACATCGTGCACAAGCACCGTCGTTGGGACGTTAAACGTAAGAACTCTTGAAACTGTTCTAAGCTGTTAGAACGAATGTGCGCTGCGCTAAGGCGAGAACCACATGTTGAAAAGGAACCGCCCTCCATCCGTGACGCTCTTGCACACTCTTTAGAAACATGTGCGCGGCGTTACGGCGATAACCACACTTTGAACACGACCCGCCCTCCATTCGTGAAACTCTTGCAAATTTACAGTTTCAGGATCATAACGATCAGGAGGTTTCAGGCGAAGCGCTGGGCCCGCTTTGCCGACCCGTCTCGTGGTGCGCGACAGGGGTAAGTTTTCTACAGGAAGGAGGAGTGAAGGAGGAGGAGAATCAGGGCAAGCGTAAACCCAAGACCAATCGACGATGCTTCAAACACCCTCCCTCCAAGTTCCCTTTTCATAGGCCTGGGCGGCCGCTGGCGTGCATGATGGCTCCTGGAGACGTGCCCAGACTCCTCGAGGCAATTCAACAATCACGGCGGGTGTTTCTCGTTATTTGCAGCCGCTGGGGGCCCCTACTGGGCCTCAGGACCGTCAAAAGTCGAGGCAGGGCGCAGTAATTGCCGGTCCCGGGGTCTGGGTCGAGACCTTCTCGTGAGCGTTTCTTATATTAATTATTTTGCCGGTCGGCGCGGGCTCTTGCACCCCCCCCTCCTCTCCCCACCCCAGAGTGGATCTTGGCTGTTTTGGGCGCCTTTTTCGAGCAGGTGGAGCCTCCCCCATGATGGACGCACTGCTGCAATCAGTCGCACTAAGCAGAGGTCCGGAGCCAGACCCCCCCCTCCCCCCCCTCATTTCCGCCCAGGCCCAATGTCGAGACGCCGAATGAAGAAACGCTCGCCTGGGTGCGAGCGAGCTGCTGATCTCCACCCGCGCAGTGCCCGCGCGGCTCGACTGGAGCTCGCTGGCTGGAGCCCCAGGCCTCGGCCTGGAGCTCCAGCGACTGTGCCTCCCTGCGCAGGGGAGGAGGAGGAGGAGGAGGAGGAGGAGGAGGAGGAGGAGGAGGAGGAGGAGGAGGAGGAGGAGGAGGAGGAGGAGGGAGGAGGAGGAGGAGGAGGAGGGCCTGGAGGGTCGCCGGGAGGTCTGCAAGGTCCGCCAGCGGCCGCTTCGCGAGGTTTGCCGGCAGCCGCGGAGAGGGCGCTGGTCTGCTCGAAGGACGAAAGGCGGCACAAACGTCATTTTTTGGTCAGGTTGGGCCCCAGGTAAGGGGACCCAGTTAGTGGTAGGGCCCCGGAGCCTCTAAATTGGCCACCACCACGAAACCAGGTCTGCCGCAGCTGGTATTTTTTCGGCGGACGGCAGTTCCGGTCAGTGGAACGGGGCGGGGGTGGCCCCGCGCTCCTGGGAGGGGGGGTCCAGCTCAGATCCAAACAATCCGCGCGGAGCGCCAACAGTTTGTGTCTGTGCCGTTTTATGTTCCTTTTCTGTTCCTCTATCTGCGGCCAGTGACCAGCGGCCGCGGATTGGATTTGCGCTCTTGTGCGAACCCCAGGCCCTTTCGGGTCGAGTAGGCGCCTGGCTTCGACGAGGACGAAAGTAGCCTCGCCAACGTCCAGTGTCGAGGCATCCTTCTCTGCGCGACAGGCCGACGCTGCAGCGCCGACTGGACCCGCGGAAGACGCTGCCTGGATACCCCCGCCGAGAGCTCACCTGGCTGCAGGCTCCTTCGGATTCCGAGGCCAAGCCGACGTCTCGGAAATCTGACCTGCAGGGGTGGGGTTCACGCGCGGTGGCGAGGTGGACCTTCCCAAGGTTTGCAGGCCTTTCGATGGTTCCGCGCGGACTCCAGAGACGAGGGCCGCCAGATGCTCCCGAATTCCCGGAGCGTATCCTGAGCCAACCGCACCATGGCAGCATCCTCGCCCCCCCCTCCCCCCCGTGCTCCTCCTCCGCCGTCAGGAGGTAAACGCCCTCACCAAGCAGATCGAGGAGAAGATCCAGCTTGCTGGCGAGCTCGCTGTCTCCGTCGCGCAGATGGCGAACGACCTGGAAGACACCTCGGAGGCCGCGTCGGAGAGAGAGCAGCGGGAGGGGGATGGCAGGGGCGGAGGGGGGCGGGGAGGGGGCGTGGAAAAGAGCGGGGGGGGGGAATTCGGGGGAGGGCCAGACGAAGCACCGGCGCCCCTTCAAGGGGCGCTTTTGGTCCTCTCTTCGGCCTCCTTGGAGGCTTTTTGTCGCCACGCCTGGCTCCGCCTCGAACGACGGGTCAGGATGGACCCGTGGGGATCCAGGGGCGGATGTTTAGCGGAGTCGGGCCGGGCGGGAGGAGCGCCGTGGTTTCAATTGGCCCTCCTCCGAGAGATGGTGGAGGGGAGGGAGGGGAGGGGACTGGAGGAGATGGTGGAGGGGAGGGAGAGGGACGGTGGACGGGGAGAGGGGGAGAGGAAGTGGAGGGGGATGGTGGAGGAGATGGAGGGAGGGGAGGAGCTGGTGGAGGAGAGTGGAGTGGGATGGTGGACGGGAATAGGGGGAGGGGGAGGAGAGGAGGACCCATGGGGACCCTGCTGAGTGGGGGCTTGGTGGGAGAGTGAGGCAGGGTCGAGGGGACGCGGAAGGGAGGGTAAGCAGGCCCGGGAGGGAGGGGAGGGTCGGGAAGGCGGGAATGTGGAGGGGGACGTGAGGAGAGGGAGGGGTGCTGGGCTCCGCCTGCCCGTCCCTCTCGCCGCCTCCCCCGTTACCCCCCCTCCTTACCCCCCCTCCCTCCCTCCTGCCGTCCTCCCCCTCTTCCCGCTTCCTCTGGTCCACATCCTCCTGATCCGCCTTCTTTTTCTCGCCTGATTCTGTTGATCGTCTTGACCGTTTGGATCATCCTTCTCTTTCATCCCCTCCCGCTCACCCTCGTCTTGCTCCTCCTCCTACGCCGCTGCCCTCCTCTCCCCTGACCTCCAGACCCAGCCCCCTCTTCTAGTCCTCCTGATCTCCCTTCCTCCTCCTCCTGTTCGTCCTCGTCGTTGTTCTCCTCCTCCTCCTCCTTCTCCTTCCTCCTGCCCTCCCCACTGGTCCGCCCTCACTCTCCTCCTCCTCCTCCTCCTCCTCCTCCTCCTCCTCCTCCTCCTCCTCCTCCTCCTCCTCCTCCTCCCCCACTCTCTCTGGCAGGGCCCGAGGCGCGCGGGTGCAATGTTTTTAGACTTGGCAGGGCAGCCGCCTGCTGCTCGGCGGGCGCAGGCGCGGCGCCGCGCCACGGATCGTCCGCCGCGGCGGCGGCCGACGAGCGACCGACGTCTGGTTTGGCCGCCCCCGAGCGGGACGCCGCGCGCGGACAGGGCGCGCATACTTGTGCGATGCGGAGGAGGAGGAGGAGGAGGAGGAGGAGGAGGAGGAGGAGGAGGAGGAGGAGGAGGAGGACCGGCCGACGGCGCGGACGAGCGCGGGTGAGCTGCCCGCGCAAGTCTGGGCTCCAGAGGTGGGGGTCGATGCAAACGGGGGTTCAGCCGGAGCGCCGGCGATTGCAGGATCTGGCAGGGGCAGGGTCGCACTGACCGGGGTGTGGATTGATTTGGGTCAGAAGATCCCCGAGTGAGGTCCCGCGTGCCCGCTCTCGGTTGGACGGGGAGGCCGTGGCGCCCGAGACATTCTCCAGAGCCTCGGGATCTCGGAAGTTCTCGATTTCTCCGAACCCGTGTTTATCTTCGTCCTAGCCTCGTCTTAGGCGAAGACCACCAGCAGTCGCTCGAAGGAGTACAAACTGCACAGACATAAACTTTCGGAGCTCCGCGCGGATATCCTGAATGTGCGCCGGGCCACGCTGGCGGCGCCTCTGGCGCTCTCCGCGCGCCGAGGAGGGGGGTCCAGTGCCGATGCAAGAAGTCCTCGTGGAGCTCCGGAATTGTATGTTTACACATGGCTTTCTTCTCCTAGTCCGTGCCCCATTTTGAACAGCTCTCTTTGTCGGAGCCGCCGCAAACGCTGTCTGTTTGAGACAGCGAGTCGCCTGCCCAGCATCGACCGCTGTCGGCCTTGGAGACGGCATCTGCTGTGGGGCGTCGTGCGCATTTTTCCCGTGTCCACGTCAGGCGTGCGAGTTCAGGGCGTCTCGTTCAGTTTCCTTGGGCTGGCGAGCCTGCGGCAAGCGCGAGGCCTGAACCTGTCTTCCTGCCTGCTCCCCCGCGCTCTGGGCCGTCTCCTCCTCCACCGCGCCTTCTTTCCTCCTGCCACATGCCTTCTCTTTAAACCTCTCCTCTGCCCTCATCCGTCTTCCCTACTCCTTCGCCTCATCATCGCTCCTCCTCGATGTCGTCCTTCCCCTCCCCCACTCTCTTCCCCTCTCTCTCCCTCTCTCTCTCTCTCTCCCCACCTATCCCCTTGCTCCTCCCCTTGCACCTACTATTCCTCATCGCCAGCCTCCTCCTCCTCCTCCTCCTCCTCCTCCTCCTCCTCCTCCTCCTCCTCCTCCCCTTCAGCCTTTTTGTGCTCAGGCCCTCGCAGGGGACAAGAAGTTCCTGGCAGAGCTGGAGAAGAGCTGCTCCACGAAGACGGCAGAGTGGGAGGAGCGCTCCAAGGTCGCGCCCGCGCGCCCGCGCCCGAGAGACGGCACGCCCGAGAGACGGCCCCTCCGTCGCCTTCTCCCAGACGAGGGAGGACGAAGAGCGAGGAGGAGCGGATGACCGAGCACGTTTAAGATGACGAAGACGAAAATGACGACGACGACACTGCCGATAACGACGACGATTTTGCTGATGATGTTGTTGTTGATGATGATGATGATGAGGATGATGATGATACTGGCACCGATGACGATGACGATGAAGCTTGTGGCGATGGCGATAACGGTTACGACGACTATGACTATGATAACGACGAACCTATCGATCATGAATTTGATGATGATGAAGATGCTGATGCTGCTGTTGCTGATGACGATGCTGCTGATGATTTCGACGACGATGCTGATGGTGGTGGTGATTGGGATGGTGACTTGAGTGAGAAAGACGATGATGATGGTTCTTCGGAGAAAGAGGATACGCATGCTAATGCATATGATGGTGGTGAGGATAATGAGGATGATGGGGAGGATGGCGATGATAATGATGCTGCTGATGATGACAATGCTGATGGTGATGAAGATGATGACGATGCTGCTGATGCTGATGATGCTGATGAGGATGGTGCTGATGCTGGTGATTATGCTGATTATGATGATGGTGCTGCGGTTGATGATGATGATGATGCCGCTGATGCTGATAATGAAGAGGATGATGATGATGAGGCCGACGCTTCTGACGATGATGTTGACGATGCTGATGAGGATGTTGATGGTGATGGTGATGATGATGGTGACGAATGATGGGGAAGACGAGGATGAATCTGCCGATGTTAAAGATGCGAATGATGAGGAAGATGAGTATGGCGAGGATGAGGACGAGGATGACGATGATGATGATGATGATGTTGATGATGATGATGATGATGATGATGATGTTGATGGCGATGAGACTGATGATGCTGCTGCTGATGATGACTATGATGATGCTGCTGATGATGATGCTGCTGATGCTGATGATGCTGATGATGGTGCTGATGATGCTACTGAGGCCGACGCTTCTGACGATGAAATTTACGGAGCTGATGAGGATGGTATGGTGATGGTGATGATGGTGGTGATGATAATACTGATGCGGAGGATGAGGATACGTATGCCGAGGTTGAGGATGCGAATGATGAGGAGGACCATTGTGAGGATGATGACGAGCATGATGTTGATGCTACTGATGATGGTCATGCTAATAATGATGGTGATGATGCTAATGAGTATGGTGAGGATGCTAATGATTGTGAGGATGCTAATGATGCTGGTGCTGATGCTAATGATTGTGAGGATGCTAATAACGAGCATGATTTTGATCATGCTAATGATGATTGTGATGGTGATTACCACTTCGACGATGATGATGATGCTGCTGATGATGATGCTGCTGATGCTGATGATGATAATGAGGCCGACGCTTCTGATCATGATGATGACGATGTTGATGTGGATGGTTCTGGTGATGGTGGTGATTGTGATGAGAAGGATGTCGAGAAGATGAGGATAAGTCTGCCGATATTGAGGGTACGAATGATGAGGAGGACGGTGGTGAGGACGAGGATGAGGATGATGATGACGGTGATGACGACGTCAACGAGGGGTCACGATGATGATGACGACGATGATGATGATCCTGATGTTGCTCAGTATGAGTATGATGATGGTGATGATGATGATGGTGATGATGATGATGGTGATGATGCTGATGATGATGCTAATGCTATTGATGATGATGGTGGTGATGATGCTGATCATGAAATTGATGATGCTGATGCTGATGATGATGAGGATGATACTGATGATGATGCTGATGATGATACTGATTGCACGCGTCTCGAGGAGAAGTTGGCCGCACTCGGCGCGTCTGTCCAGGTACCCCTCTTCTCGTCCTCCTCTTCCTCCGCCTATGCTTTCCCGTTCCCGGGTGTGCGCGGTACCAATTGTTGCTGCTCTTGCGGCTTCTTGATTCCTCAATTTCAGTTCTTTAGAGTTGTACCGCCCGTCTGGTGGGGGAACTTGTGTTACCGCTGCCCATATGTGTGCTCGCTTATGTGGTCGAATATGGAGTTGGGGCTCTCTTGCGAGGAAAAATAATGATGATGGTGATGATGATGATGCTGATGATGCTGATGATGAGGATGATGATTATGTTGATGATGACGATGATGATGATGATGATGATGCTGATGATGATGATGATGATGATGATGCTACTGAGGCCGACGCTTCTGACGATGATGCTGACGATGTTGATGATGATGGTTATGGTGATGGTGACGATGATGGTGATGAGAAGAATGATGAGGAACATGAGGATGAATCTGCTGAGGTTGAGGAGGAGGAGGAGGAGGAGGAGCGCGGACCAGCGTAAACCCAGCACGTGCCCTTGGAGGGATAGAGCTCGCACACGATTGCTTATCAGGTGCTCTGCTGTCGTGACTCCCTGTCGCCCTTTCTCGTTCCTGCCGGCCTTTTTTCGCTCCTTGTCTTCCTCCTTACCCTCTTTCTCCTCCTCCTGGCCCTCGCCTCGTCCCATTCTCCGCCCTTCTCCCCCTGCTTTGTTGTTGCTGCTGCTGTTCCTCCTCCTCGTTCCACAGGTCCGGCAGGCAGAGCTGCTGGCGCTGGCGGAAACCATCAAGGCTGCTGCGCGCGCTCCCCCGGGCCCTGTTTTCCCAGCGGGCCCGCTCGAGAGGAGGATCGGCAAGATGAATAATCGCAGGCGATGTTTCTCCCCCAATCCCCGAGTTTCGCCCAAAAAGTTTGGCCGCTCAGAAAAATGGAAAAACCCTGGGATACACCCCAAGGGGGCTATTCGGACGCACCCCTATCGAGGATGGGCACCCCCCCATCGTATATCCCAGGGTTGGGCCCCAAATTTCTGGTCCATTCGGAAACCCCACGAAGCCTGGGATAGGGGTCGACGTATCCCTTGTTCAATAAGTAAATATGCTCCTCTCCGCCTCGTAATAATATCACTCATAAACATCTTTGCATGCTGCGCACTGTCTGAGTTGAACTGATGCTGCATACTGCAGCTGTTTGTTTACGCAGGCAAGCTTTCGTTTGCTTGCAGGAGAGAAAAAGGAGCGCGCCAGCCCTCGGCCGTCGCACGTCGTCGGTCGAATGAGAGGATGGTGATGATCAAGTGGGGGAGGCGGGGAGGAACACGAGCAGGATGAGGGAGTGGAGGGAAAAAATGAAGGATGAGGACGAGAGAGGAAGATGTGGAGGAGTGGGAGGCTCGACTGGAGTCGCCCCGACTCAACTCGCTCTATGGCGCCATGTCATCACGTCCAGAAGTGAGAGATTGGTGCAGAGAGGGAGCCCGTTACGGTGGTTACTGGTTGGCGTGGCCCCAACGCCGAGAAATCCCGTCGAGTCGCAGGCTTTGGCTCCCTCCCGGCTGGGGATCGTCGAGTCATTATCGCAGCTCGTGTCAGCTTGTGCAGCATAGCATGGACCTGCAGTGAAGGACAAGCAACAGGAATGGCAAAACTCGCAACAGAGGGCGAAGAAGACGACAGGGGAAACGGCGAGGGCAGAGAGGAATCAAGAAGAGAAGAGACGGGGCAACGCAAGAGAAGGAAAATACATGACGGAGACACATCGAGTAACCGTGTGATTCGGTTGGCATGTGGCCTGGCACCATTAACGAGACGTTCATCCTGCCGTTCCGTGCAAGTGCAATCCGGTGCTCGTCACCCGGAGTAAGGGTGGCGTCGGCCTGCCAGCTCTCGAAGCTTCTCGGCCAAATGCGCGCGGATCAGGGATTCGGCGTTGTTCTGCGCGGTGTGTCTCTCTCTCTCTCTTGCCAGCTGTGCCGACTCCGCTCGTCGAGCCATCGATGCTCGCAGCGCTGCAGTAACCTGCCGGGCTGGGTGCACGGAGGCCAGGTGCGTGGCGGGAGGAAGACAAGGGAACATGAAGATGACGAGGGGGCGAAGTGGGGTAGAGACATACATCTAGAATCTAGAGTATGTATATAACACATACACATATTTAATTATTTTATATCGTATGTGTATATGTACACGTACGTAACATATATGTTTATGTATGCACAGGGAAGGAATGGTGATTTGTACGAGGATGAGCTGCACACGGGGGAGCAGGATGGGTGCAAGAGCGCCTGCCATCTTCGGGGAACGATGTGCCATCTCTGCGGAGTCACAGGGAAGACGGTGTTTCAGTGTATGATTTCGTTGCCGATGGCCAAGGGCAATGCCGACGAGGAGAAAGAGGGCGGATCGATTGAAATGGAGGAGGGTGATGTGTTTGTCAGAGCGTCTGGGTGGACCCCTCTTGGGCATGATGTCGGGCATGGAGCGCCTGCGTCAGTGCAAGGTTAGCTGCCATGATTTCTGCTACGCCGTGATCGAGATCACGTGCCTGACCTCCAGCGCCGCTTGAAGATCTATATATGGTCCCGGGCTCCGGGCCCACGGGCCCCCCCCCCCAGATGGTATGGTCCCAGGATTCCTCGGCCCCCCCCCCCAGATGGTATGGTCCCAGGGACGACGACGACAACGACGACGACGACGGCGACGGCGACGACTACGGCGACGGCGACGACGACGACGACGACCACAACGACGACGACGGCTGCGGCGGCCACGACGCCAGCGGCGGCGGCGGCGACGACGACGATGACGACGATGACGACGGCGACGACGACGATGACGACGACGACGACGACGACGACGACGACGACGAGGACGACGAGGACGACGAGGACGACGACGACGACGACGACGACGTCAAAACCACCATAGCACCACACCACATCCACAGGGGGGGGGAGGGGGGCACCGCAGCGCAGCACCACGCCACGCCCACCTCTGAACCACCACAGCACCACACCACATCCACAGGGGGGTTGAGGGGGGACACCGCAGCGCAGCACCACGCCACGCCCACAGGGGGGGGGCGGGGGGGACCATCGCGCGGGGGGGGGAGGGGGCCAATGGCATCAGCATTGGGGGGGGGGGGGGCCCAAGCCCTGGACCATATATTCGGAGAGCTCTCTGGCCGCTCCGCGGCCGCTTCCTCTTGTCTTGCCCATCCTTCGCGAGCGCCGTAACTAGCTACGGACACGTTCCGACGTCAGCCCGACCGCTTGTTGGACCCAACTCGCTGAGAAAGTTTGCCGCCATCATGCAATTAGCCTTCAGACTGTTTCTAAGCACTGCGCCTCAGGGATCTGCATCCGCATTGGACTTGAATGTGTACTTCGCAGACATACGCAATCGCGCGTTTCGCCCGCGCCGCAGATTCTCAACGATGATGACGCCCTCGAGCTATCATAGAGGCTTACGCCAGTGCGCCGAACTGAAACGGAGTGTTTCCCGGCCACGTGCACACATCAATTTGGGCGATGTGCAAATGGAGGGGGTAGTGTTTGAGTTGCCTTGGGCTATGTTGGGGGGCATTTCTGTTGGGAGGGGGGGGTCTTGGAATCTGCTGGGGCCTGCATGGGGCCTCTTCGAGGCTTCTTCTTGTCGTGCCTTGGGGCCTTGGGAAGTTTGGGGGCCGTCTTGGAGCGATCTTGGGTCAGACTGGAGCTCCCCTTCCTGGCTCATTCCTGGGGGCTTTCTGTGTCGTCTGGGAGCCTCCTGAGGGTCTCTTGGGCCGTCTCGGAGGTATCTGGAGCTGTCCCAGTCGCCCTCTCGAGTCAGCATACCGCGTATACGGTAGGTTCGCGTCGTGTCGACCGACGCCGCCGCCGGCGTGCAATGTTGAACGCCGCCGTCGGACTAGAATCCGTCTCGGAGACGGCCGATCGTTCAAGGTTGACCGGTCCCCGCATTGTCAGAAGCCGACGCCAGTGTCGACACGAACCTGCCGTATCTCAGGGGGGGGGGGGGAAAGAACACACAGAGACACAATTGATCGTCGATCTCCGGAAGATTGGGAAAATGTGGGAAGTGGGGGGGAAGGCAAAAACCCAGAAAATGTTGGGAGACATGGGGAATCCTACTATCTGTGTGTATTTATTTGTGTGTCCCAGGGCCCCTGCAGTGTCGCGTGCAGAGCTTTTGCCCCCCTGTTTGGCGGGGGGGCTCCCGCCGGGCCATGACGTGACTCGGAGCCTCTCCGTGGACTTCCACGGGGCTGCACGGTGGCCGTTTTGGGAGCCGTCGTGGTCTGTGTTTGTTTCCGTGCTCGGCGGTGGTGGTGAGTCGGGCCTGTCCCTCTACAGGGAGAATATGCAAAGATGGTCCCTCTCTGGGGACGATCTTTTTGAATATGATCGAATATGCTTTGGAGCATTTTTGGGCAATCTTTTATTTTTCGTCCCAAATCCCCCTGTAGGAGGACATGCCCGACCTAACGGTAACTAGTGGGCCATCTGGAGTCCTGCTCCCAACCATCTTGTGGTGCTGGGTCCTCGTTTTGACGCGACAGCGCCCCGCGTCCCACCTCTCCTCCTCCTCCTCCCTCACCTCCCCCTCCTCCTCCTCTCCTCCTCTCCTCCTCTCCTCCCTCCTCCTCTCCTCTCCTCCTCCTCCTCTCTCCTCCTCCTCCTCTCTCTCCTCCTCCTCCTCCACCCTCCTCTCCTCCCCCTCCCCCTCCTCTCCTCCTCTCCTCCTCTCCTCCTCTCCTCCTCTCCTCCCCCTCCTCCTTCCTCCCGTCACCCCCCCCGCTTTGGGCACACCCCTCACACGTTTCGTAGCCCCATAGGGAGCTCCCCCGACGGCCAACATTCCAGCGCTCGCATGCGCCCGCCGCAGCTATTTTGGTGCGCCCCCTCGCACGTTTCGTGGCTCCTAGGGAGCTCCACCGCAGGCCAAGCGCCAGCGCTCGCATGCGCCCACCGCGCCCATTCTGGCACACCACTCATACGTTTAGTGGCCCCATAGAGGGCTCCACCGAAGGCTCATGTGCCAGCGCTCACACGCGCCCACCGCGCCCAGTGTGGCACATCCCTCACACGTTTCGTGGCCCCATAGGGAACTCCACCAAATACCCAAATGCCAGCGCTCGCATTCGCCCCCGGGCACCATTTTTGCATACTCCTCGCACGTTTCGAGGCCCCATGGGGAGCCCAACCGAAAACCCATGTGCCAGTGCTCACCTGCGCCCACCACGCCCAATGTGGCACACCCCTCACACGTTTCGTGGCCCCATGGGGAGCTCCACAAAAGGACCAAATACCAGCGCTCGCATGCGCCCACCGCGCCCATTATGGCACGCCCCTAACACGTTTTTTAGGGATCTCCCCCAGAATCGGTGCATACAGCGACGGTACCTACAGTTGCATATGGTTGGGTCCTTCGTCAGGCTAATTTAAGGTCTTCAGGGCTGGCGAGCCAATCATCTCACTGGTGAGGCATCGGGATGCGCACGGACAGCCCCCAGGTAGTCCAGGCTCGCCCCAACAGGCCCCCGAGTAGTCCCAAGTGGCCTCAACAGCCCGGGTCGGTCTTAACACCCTGGCGCTGCTTCCAGCGGCGCCCCTGGGGCGCGAAACGCCCCAGGCTTGAGTCGGGGGGCCTGTTGGGGCCAACTGGGACTGCTCTGGAGGCCTGTTGAGGCCAGCTGGGACTACCTGGGGGGGCTGTCTGTGCGCAACATTAAGCCTTGCCACATCTCACACGCTCTACTACCACCGGCAAGCGGGGGTCGGTGGTTTCAAGAAGACGCTTCCTGGAGCCAGCGCAAGCTTCATGCAGGCGCCAGGGCACTAGTTCTCGCGACGCGACACGTGACTCACACAATGCCACATCCGCGTCTGAATTTTGTTCGCCCCAGCCACAACCGAGCGCTCTGCCAACCCGCTTGAGTGTGATATGGGACTGAATTTGCTTGGCAGGCACGTATGCGGATCAAAACAGCGCTACTTGTTGCTGGCCCTCATGGTGACGACGACGATGAGACTCAGGGTCGCAATGATGATCACGACGAAGACGACATGACGCCGGAATCGATGGCGACAGTAGTACTGCACCGGTGAGGTGAATTACGGCTGGTAGAACATCAGACACGTTCGGATGGCGCCAGTCTTCGGCCCCATACCAGCCTGACTGTGGGCCCTTGAGCTTTCGTGCGGTCTTGATTCTCCTCCCCCCCCCTCCGAAGCCATTTTGGATCAGGCCAGACTGACTCTGACTCTGGTCTGCCTCGGGAAACTCCTTGGGGTACAGTGGGGGCCGATGCCAAGAAACACCCTGCTCGCCTCCTGGGTGCCCTGGGTTTCTTTGGTTTCGATGGTTTTGCTGTGGAAGGCGTGATTTTCCCACGCCAAAATTCAATGGACGTCCTGGGATCTCAGGGTTGGGTTTCTTGCGGAGGTTTCTTGTGGACTGGCCTACACTGTACAGAAGCCGACACTTGCACCAAGTCCCTACGAGCGACACTACCGCATTGACACCCTCCTGACGAGCCGCACTCTGCTGCGCCTGACGACGGTGCTCGAGCAGCAAAGCGGTCTAGCACGGTCGTCTGGGCAGGGAGATTCCGAAGAAGATTCCGATGAGAAGGTTTTTGCGGCGGCAAACGACACATATTTCGACGAGCGCTGCAGCGCGTGCTACCTGGACGTTTACCCAGCAAGTGACCGACCCAACCATATGCAGCTTCGCGCAGCGCGACGTGTCGCCCCACTCATCACAAGGTGCGCGCCGCGGGGCAGTGGTCGGACGGTGGGTTGCGGAGCCAGCGTGCGGGCGCAGGCGCGCGGAATCCCCAGTGGAGCACGATCCGTTCGAGCGGTGTGCCAGAAAGACCGCGCCGCGGCGTGCGAACGCACACGCTGAGGCCGCAGGTGGAGCTCGCTGTGGAGCACGATCTGCGTGATGGGTCTGCCGGAATGGGCGCGCCGCGGCAAGCGAGCGCCCCCCTGGGGGGCCGCAGGCGGAGCTTCCTGCGGGGAGCGATCGGCGACGTGTGCGCGCCGCAGAGGTGGAGCTCCCTATGCGGGTACGATTCGCGTGAGGGGTGCGCCGCAATGGGCATGCAGATCGCGAGGAGAGAGGAGGAGGGGGAGGAGGAGGAGGAGGAGGAGGAGGAGGAGGAGGAGGAGGAGGAGGAGGAGGAGGAGGAGAGGAAGGTTGGGCGCGGTGCAGCGGATTCAAAACGAGGACCCAAGGGCACAGGAGTGTTGTAGCACTCCTCATGTGCATGAGGATACTCGTGTACTTTTGTGTCGAGTAGTTTAGAGAGCGATTCTGATTCCATGACACCATGCACGCTGAGCTACAGCACCGACTGAAGGCAAGCTGGGGAGCTTTCACCGCTCACAGAAGAGCACTCGGGAAACGACTTCCCGTTGAAGCATCGTCCCTGGTTGGTCGACTACCTTGTCACGCCGACGGAACCACGGCTTGATGGACTCTGACCGAGACTCTTCGGCAACAGCTACAGCGTACATAGATTCGCATATTGCGAATCACCTTCGGATCCCCGAGTCTCGAAACCACGACACAGACGACAGCTGAGCCCAGATCTTGAGTCTGTGGTTTTCTGATGCCATGCTACACATGTATTGTAGGGATGGCAGGAAGGGTGCGAGCGAAGCATACATGGTGGGCTATTGTTTAGGGAACTTGGTCCCAACCTCGACCTCCTCCCCGTTTCCTCCCTGCTACCCGCAAATTCTCCTCCCTCTCCTTTCCACTATCCTTCCTCCCGTGCCCCCCCATCTCCTCCCTCTCCCTCCTGCCGTTCATGTAACATGTTCCCCGGTCCTCACTCACCCTCTTCTTCTACTTTCCCTCCCTTTCTCCCCCTTTACTTTGGCGTTCTCTGGACATTTGCTTTGCGGCTCCCGCTCTGGTGGCCAGGGTGAAGGGGGCAAGGAATTTGATGGAGGAGGGATGAGCGATGCAGGGAGGGATGACGGGAGTGAGAAAGGGAGGAAAACGGGAGAAAAGGATGGATGAGGAGGAGGAGGAGGAGGAGGAGGAGGTGGAGGTGGAGGAGGAGGAGGAGGAGGAGGAGGAGGAGGAGGAGCTGGAGGAGGCGGGGGAGGAGGAGAAGGCGGGGGAGGAGGGGGAGGAGGAGGACGAGGGGGAGGAGGAGGAAGAGGAGGAGGATGAGGAGGAGGAGGAGGCGGAGGACGAGGAGGAGGAGGAGCAGGGAGCATGTGATAATCAGGACCAGGTTGCTATGAGTAGCGAGGCGGGAGGAGGGAAAAGGAAAGGGAGCGCCAAGGAGAGGGGGATGGAGTGGAGGAGAGTACATGGCAGGAGAAGGAGGATAATGATGCAGATGATGGTTTTTTCTCATGATGATGAGTATACTGGTGATGATGAGGATGACGAGGATGACGATGATGGTGATGCTGATGATGGTGATGATGATTACG